CTACACGCTGAGTACAGCCGGTCAGCCAGCTACGAATCCATCTGGTGGCGATGGTGTCTAACCCACATTTTTCTATCTTATCAAGTAGCAGGTTGTGGTCTACTTTATCAAATGCCTTACTGAAGTCCACATAAATTATATCCACAGCATTCCTCTGGTCACTAATTTTGTCACTTGGTTAAAGAATGCGATAAGATTTGTCTGGCATGATCTGTTTTTGACAAAACCATGTTGGCTTTTGGTAATGACTTTGTTTGCCTCTAGGTGTTGTTGTTTGATTATCTTTTCCAGAATCTTCCCAGGTATTGAGGTCAGGCTGATAGGTCTGTAGTTTCCTGGATCCATATTTTTTTTCCTGTAGATGGGGACTACATCAGCTCTTTTCCAGACCTCTGGTAGTTCCCCAGTGCTCCAGGATCTTTGAAAGATATAGTTCAGTGGTTCTGAGATCACATTTGCCAGTTCCTTCAGAATCTTGGGGTGTAATCCATCTGGTCCTGGTGATTTGAACTCGTCTAGGGTGGGCAGGTGCTCACTTACCATTTTCACTTACCATTTAATAATCAATGCCAAGGACCAAGTGTCTATATTTCTTATAAATATTAATATTTAGAGTATTTAATTTTAAATAAATTAGAAGTGTCAGCTAAATAGGAACATGATGGAACAACCAGACCCACTCTCTAAATAAAAAGGCTTTTTATTTTGGAATAAAGCCCTTTGAAGGCCATCAATTTTTTATGGAGGGTGGGAATTGATTCCATAACTTGGACTCTGCCACCTGTGCTGGAGGAAGCAAAAGAAGGCCCTGCCTAGAGTACTATAAGAAGGAACAAGACTGTAGGGAGAAATAAAGGTACATACCTCCCCTGGGGAGTTTGTTAAACTCTGCTATCAGGTCCAAAAAGACAAGATACTAATGTCAGGTTCTGGGAAATGGCCACCAGAAATGTTGTGTAGAATTTGAATTCCTCACTCCTAGTCCAACTTATAAAACTAGACAGGAATACAATCTAAAAAGATACAGTATGGAAAGGTAAGTTGATGAATAAGGAAAAGGGGGGGAAACTCTTTAAATTGTGTAGCACAATGGACAGCTCTAAGTGGGTAGTTTCACATGATCTGTTGTTTTCCATCAAGTCAGTAGAATCATTCCTAAGGGCCATTGTTCTGAAGCTTTTTGAGTATTCCACTCAGCTCTTCCCCCAGGGATACCTGCATTCTTGTTTTAAAATGTCAATAGGAATGTTATTAAAAAGGGTCTGTCACTATCTCCTGTAACACCAGCCTTGTTATTTTGCAGTTCCTCCTGGAATGGAATGTTCTGAATGCTTTCCTGCCAAGTATGACTGGGTGGCAAGAGTAGGAGAGATCTGCAATTATCTCAACATCACTGGAAATATGGAAAAAGCATCTCTTTGAAGAATAAAAGCAAAACCAAAAAATACAGCGAGCAGAAACTAGCTATAGCGCATGGCCAGTTTTTGTTTTTCTTCTTTGATTCTGAGATCCTGCTCAGCTAGCTCAGTGGTTCTCAACCTTTTTAATGCCGCGACCCCAACCGGTTGTAAGTCGATGACTAAACCGGTCGTAAGTCGAGGACTAAACCGGTCGTAAGTCAAGGACTTTCCCTGCCCGGGAGCGCCGCACATGTGTGGTTCCGCCCCCTGCGCCGGCCGAGGCGTAGCTGGCAAGCGGCAGAGACGGAGCAGGCCGAAAACCAGCTGGCCCAGCTCAAGGGAGGTAAGGCACCCGCCGGAAAAGGGGAAAAAAATGGCGGACAGCCTTGCTTGGCGACCGTGAAATGGTCGATCGACCCCAAATGGGGTCCCGACCCACAGGTTGAGAACCACTGAGCTAGCTGCTTTGCATTTGTTACTTGTCTGGATTCGGAGTCAGTTTGACATCATGACTGTGCATAAACTAGAAGTGAATTGCTGTAGTAAAATATTTTGCTTTTAAAAATGCACGCCTAATGTAAGATAGGGATGAAACACATAACTGTAGCTGCATTCAGCCCAAAAAGTTGTAGATCCTTTACATGTTTTTAAAAAGGAAAGGAATAACTAGTTAAGATTATTGTTGCAACCTCAAAAATCTTCCCAGACATTCCCCAAGTGAGTGGGTGTGATGCTTCAGAGCAATTATTATTACTTTTTTTTTTTTAGATTGGAGGGAGGGAGGAAACTGGCATCTTAACCTTGCAAAGAATTGCAACCCCCTTGCAGCCCTCAAAGAAGTTATACTGTAATCATTAAGCCCTTCCAAAAAAATTTACTACCCCAATTTAATGTGGCATGTAAATCCAACAAAATATTGTTTGCACCAAACAGTATTAAGTGATTTAGTACATGGAAACCCACTTGTGTGAATCTGCTATTCACACAAATAAATCTTGATATAACTGAGTTCATAATTATCAGTTCCCATTTTCCTGACTTTTTAAAACATGCATTTCTGCATCATATTGACCTTGCATTACTTTCCAAGAGCATTGTAATGTGGCAGTACTTGATTTACCTTCTTAAGCTAGAAGCTAGAGGATTGGGGCTAGGGAAGTCCCATTAGAGAATATCATGCCTCTTGGTTAGACTGAGAAGTTAAAAAACATCTCAAATGGTGCCAGTAGCAAATAGCTTCCTTAATGTTGCTAAGGAAACTGCATAGTTATCTCCAAGGAGTCATCAAGAACCAGTCTCAATTTTTACCTCCACACTTATAGGGAAAGGGAATTGGGGCTAAATAATTATGGCTATATTGGAGTTGTATTTCTAGTTTTATAAATAAGGAAATTTGCTCCCTTATTTTTTTTTCTGTTCAGTTTCATCTCCAACCTGACAATAAAGAATAAATCCAATAACCTATCTTCCTAAACCCTTTGTTTCTGTAGTACCTTTTCCTCTAACTGAAGATAGAAGCCGAAAAATTGTATTCCTGTTGGATTCTGTTCTTCAGATGCTTTTGCAATTTTTTAAAAAATGCAAATGCAGCAGGCATGGTAAACACTATTACTTTTCATCATTTTATCTCATTTCTTTGGATTGTCTGATCAAATAATGGCATGGAATTCCCAGCTGAGATGTACAGACTTCTTTTAAATACTTTTTGAAATGCCAGTTACAGAATTTTCAAAACAAAAGGGTAAGATTTCTTACCCTAAAGAGTCTTCTGGCTCTTAATCCAAGTGGTTTCATACATATCCCTTATTCACATTACAATCTTTTGCTGCAGATAGACAACAATCTAACTTCTATATTTTGGACAACCCTTGTCATTCTTTGCCATTGATCATCCTAGTTGGCGTTATTGAGAATTAAGTCCAAAATCTCTGGAGAGCATCCGATTGCCTATCTACACACTAAAGAAATGTTAGCAAACAAGCTCCAAAACTCTTAGGTTTTCTATCCTTTGCTTTGGTGCATAACACAAAGAGCTAAGCCTTTTTTTTAACAAAGCTTAATTGCAGAATTTGAAATACTCATTGTAGTCTAAACTTATGCATGAACGAAACCATTATGAGCTTTTAAAATATATATTTAGGATTCTGCCTTATAAAGCAATCCATGGCCCAAAGCTGAACTTGAATGCTTAAAACTCTTCCATTTGAATATGTGCTTGATCCTAAGACTCTTACATTGGATCCCCACTTTATTGCCTTGCTAAATTTTCCCTCCTTTTCAATAAAGTTAGATATCTCAGCAATATGCAACCCCTCACTAGACTAGTGACTAATAAATGTCAGTTCTAGCATTACAGCTACCATTAACCAGGAATAAAAAATGGTGCTACTTCCCTACAGACTCCAGATGAGTCAGAATCAAACAAGCCACCAAATTAAGATTGTCATAAAGATGAAAGGCAAGCACAAGTTCATTTATTTATAGCAAAGGTCTTGGGTTACAAGAGGTCAGTTCTTGCCATCTTGAAGAAACATTAAACAGGTTAAGTTATTGCATACATGTGCATTATAATTTAGCAGCAAGTCATTCACAGAACACATTTTTCTTTCGTACTGCCACCTTAACTTTTTTTTTCTTTTTTTTTTCTTTTTGGTTTAATCTCTCAAACTGTATAGAGATAAATCTTTTCGGCTTTTACAAAGCATATAACACCACCTTTAAGTTAATGGTCTTTTATTGGAAAAAAGACTAGCATTTACAACTTGGAATGGACATAACTGTACTATCTTGAACATTGACGTTGATAGTTGTGCTGAAGTCCACAGGCTCCTCTGCCAGCTCCAAGTCTCGGTACAGTAAATTTTAAAACTGCAAGAGAGAGAGAGAAAGAAAGAGAGAAGGAGGGAGGGAGAAGGAGGGGGAGAGGGAGGGAGGGAGGGAGACAGAGAGAGAGAGAGAGAGAGAGAGAGAGAGAGAGAGAGAGAGAGAGAGAGAGAGACAGAGAGACAGAGAGAGACAGAGACAGAGAGAGAGAGAGAGAGAGAGAAGGAGCATGTACCCAAAGGTGCTCCTGCCCTTTGGTAAAGATTTTGTTAAAACTTTTTAGAACGGTAATGGCCCAACATCCGTTCCACAATAGTGCAATGCAGACAATTTTAAAATCAATGTAGTAACACAGAAATGCCACCTATTTGCTTTTGGAAACAAACTACAGCTACATATTGGTGAGCCTTCTCCACCTTGGATGGGGAGGGGGAGGGGGGGGACAGAATTGCCTCTAAACTTTTTCCAGTCCTTGCTGCATACCACCTGAGGTATAAAACAATTTGAAAGTAACCAGCTTTGACAATTTTATAACTACAGATTCAGCCAGAACCCATCTTTTGACAAAAGAGTGATTAGGCATTTTTCCTTTTAAGATTTTTCTCCTTTTTAAAACTGTTTTAATACAAATGTCTGACTGTGCTCAATTGTCAAGCTGCATGCATGAAAAACTGGCCAGCCCAAACAGAGTAATAGTTATTAGCAAATGGAACTTTTTGAGGAGTTCACTAAGTGCTTTCTTATTTTTAAAAGGCAGTACAATTATTTATATTTGGAAAAAAAAACTGATGGCTAACTTGATTTTTTGGGGAACAGGACCACCAACCATTACATGCAGTTTGTGGACAGAAGGTATTTCAGCATTCAGTTTTGCTATACAGAAACAGAATGAATAAATGAACATTTTTTTTGCAAGAGGTAAGTAAAAGATTCAATTTGATTCTTCTAGAGGAAAAAAAAGGTGAAAAGAGATCTCTTCATTTTGCAGTCATCATCTGTACGAATTCTGAAAGAAACAAAGGAACGTATTTTTAGCCATTTCAGAAATGAAACAACATAAACAACCTGTAATGCAGAAATTCCTTACCCCGCTATTCTAAGATTTACAAAATTAACTATCCACAACTTCTAAGGCCCCACTTTAATTTTTGCTCTTGCAAAATTCTATAGTTATAGGAATCCAGATTATACCTTCATAGTTAACTTGTCCATCTCCGTCAATATCTGCTTCTCTGATCATTTCATCTACTTCTTCATCTGTTAACTTTTCTCCTAAGTTTGTCATAACATGACGTAGTTCTGCTGCACTGATGTAACCATTGCCATCCTGCAGAGAGGGGGAAAGAGAACAAATAGTGCAAAATTGAGAGAAATACAAGGTTCCAGAAATAATTTTTAAAATACAACTAAATATGGCAAATTATTTGGAAATGAAAAAACCTGCAGGGATAACAGGCTGGTACCTCCAGCCCAAAGATCAGGGAATAACTAATAGGAACAATTCACATTTGAGATCTTAGAAAGGTGCTGTAGCAATAGCAAACTCTGGGCTAAACCTGGAATAAGGCTGCTTTCTATGTTTTATATTTTTATTATCTTTATCCTATATATATTATCTAGAATTTAATTGTATTGGGGTAATCTTAGGGACGTGTGCAAAGAACATAACCCAAATCTTTCAGGAATGTAGGATTACCAGAACAATAATCTTTTATATTACGCAAAATGTGACTGTTAGGCAAACATAGTATGTTGCAGAAGAACTAAAGTTTAACTCAAATCCAAGTCCTCAAACTATTTATTTTGCCATCTTAAAAGCTTTGTAATTAGCTTTAGAATCAATGTTCCAATCTTGTTCCAATCTATTGCTTTTCCCCCCTTATACTGCAAAGAATGTTTCTAATACGAAATCACTTAAAAATGCCAATAAAGTTGTTGAGTGTGCCATCATAAAAAAACAAATTATCAGAATCTAAATATATGAGAACAGTGTCGTTCTTCTTAAGACAATGAGAAATTTCTCTAACTCTACCAACAGCTTATCTGAATGCCTAGATTAGCTCCAATGACTATGAAGTCTTCTAGAGCAGGGGTCCCCAACCTCCGGTCCGTGGACCAGTACCGGGCCACGGCATGCCAGCAACCAGGCCGCACAAATAAGCAAAGTCCCATCCGTAAGATGCAGGCAGCACACAAAACCATGCACCCTCCGGTCCGCAGAAAAACCTCTCTCCACGGAACCAGTCCCTGGTGCCCAAAAGGTTGGGGACCTATGTTCTAGAGAACAGCAAGAAATTCCCTCCCATGGGAAAAACACAAACAACAGAAATTTAAAAAAAAACAGAAACAAAAACAAAACATAAACCTATGTTATAAAAATATCCTAACAGTACCGACTGATTCAAAGATCTATGTGCTTAGAAATCAAGGCAAGAGTGAATTTTAAGTTATTGGACTGGCTCAGAATGCTTCTTTCAAAATTGTTAACCACTTCTTAGTTTAGATTTTATAGGAAATTTGGGTATTTTTTTTTCTAAAGGTCTAATAAGCCAGAAGTTATTGCAACTATTCTAGCATCCTCGGGAATGTCAGAATTTCAGCTCCCAGAAAGCTTTACTGCTTAGGAATTTTTGAATTTGCACACTCAACGTATCTGACAGGCTCCTGATTGGAATGACCAGGTATTATTTGGACTGAGATGACGACATCTGACCCAAGCCACCTATTCTCTTGGAAGAGTACAATTTAGACATTACAAGCTGAAATAAAACATGCTTCAGACTCTTTATTAAAGATACAATTCTTCATTTAGTAGGTGAAGATGAGATAAAAAACAGACCTTTCAAGTTTTGACCTTACTGGACACAAGCAAAGAGAAAAGATTTGTTAGCCAAACCCAAGCAACTCTGATTCTGATAGATACATCAACTCTGTAAGGGATTCAGAAACAGAGAGACCTGGACTAAAATTTTCACTTAGTCATAATGTTCCCAGAGAATCCAAACAACTTGCTCCTATAGTGAAAGGATGGCAAGCATTGCTAGTTGCTTCCCCAAACCATAAACATAATTCTTCCTTAATCAGAGCCATTTCAATTATACATCACAGTGCAATATACTAGAATGTTTGTCACAAGAATACTCAATGCAATTTGGGCAATTCTGGTTTTCTGTTAAAGGAATCTTATACACTGTACTTGTTTTCACTGGACATATTTTTAAAGAAATGCATCCAGTAAACAGACTGTGAAAGAGTCCTCTTTCAAGATTTCAAGGATGCATTTGTAGAGTATCAATTGTTTCCATACAAAATACACTACAGTTCTCATGTTATGTTGCCCTTCCAAATAGTTTTGCTAGGAAGATAAATGAAACAAAGCAACCAGTTAGAAATTTGATTGTGAACTGCAAATGTTAAAAAACAAGACTCACTGCACTTTACTAGGAGGACATCTGCTTTTAGCAACAAAGAACAATTCCAAGGAACATGTATATTATAACACTAACATACACACGGACACCATAGTTAACCTCAAAATCATACCTTATCAAAAACTCTGAATGCCTCACGAATTTCTTCCTCACTGTCTGTGTCCTTCATTTTTCTAGCCATCATGGTCAAGAATTCTGGGAAATCAATGGTGCCATTGCCTGTCAAAAAAGGCATAGGAAGGAAAAAATAAGTCCAAATGTATTTTCAACTCTATCAAAACAGAATTTGTTCTGTCTTCTTCCTCTCAATCCATTCCTCTTTAGTTAAAATTTGTTCTATAACTGGATTCTCATACATTCATTTTAATAAAATACCTCAATGTAGTTCTTTCATATTGTTCAGTTTTCAATATCTTTATTCACCTTTTTTTCTTGACCTACCTTTTGTTTTATTAAAGATAGTTAAGTATGCTATTCATATTGCCTTCAACATACTTTTGTTTTTTTCTTGACATGCCTAAGCTTCATTGCTGTTTAACATTCATGCTATTCACTGCCTTTCTACCAGATTTACATATCTTAAAATTATATAATTCATTCTGCCAAGGGATACGGATTAATCTGTTTGTTCCAGTTCTTCATCCTGTATGTATTAATTTAGAATCACTCACTCCATTTTCCCTATCAAACATTATTACTCTTGGATATATTCACTTTTAGATCCATACTCCTTGTTGCATTTGACATTCACTGGAAATCATTCAGGTTCTCAGCCAAGTTATGACATCATACACACGCTATCAGTTTTTAAAGAATAAAAATGTTCTGGACTTCTGCTTTTTTTTTGCTGTAGGAAAGTCCCTTTATACTAGGAAAGGTTTTAGATACAGAAGATGCAATTCCTTAGCAAATGTCAATCAGTTCAACTTCCTACACTCCTGAATTGCTTTGAAAACATCACATAACTGACCCAAATTTGTGCTGTCGAGATCAAAGGCCATAGCAGGTGGAAATTTTAGGAGTTGGGAAAGACAGAAATGAAATTTATTTTCCTCTACTATCTGCTCAACTACGAACTGGAAATTCTTAGGTTTTACATAATCCAGGTTCTCTATCTAGCTTTAATGCTAATTTATAACTTCAGCCTTTCTATTCTCTTTAAATACCAGACTAATTTTCAAAGGAATTGAAATCTGACTGCTGACCTTGGGAAATAGGTAGAAGACAGAATTGTAGGTGACCAGAAAGTCAACATTATGATGCCTTGTTCAGCACATATATTCCTTACATTCCATGGAGTTTCTGCAAACAATCTGAGGAACAGATCTATAAAATTCTCAAAGCTGTGATGTTTTTGGGAAGGGATGTTGTACAATTGGTCCCAATAAAGGCTTTTCTTACGCACTGTTCCATATTTGTAGGTATAAGACAAATTAACCAATTATAAGCAGACGGTTATTTTATTAAAAATTGGTTCTCATGTCTTCAACACATGATATACAACTGTTAGCTTTCTCAAACTTGATGCCTTCCATCCATATGCAGCATATTGGCAGAGAATTATGGCAGTGAATTATATCCCATCTAGAAGACAACAGTGTAGTAGTGCTCTGAATCTCTTCCACTATTGGACTAGAAATTTTTTTATTGGATTAGAAATCTTTTTATTGACAAGACAGGATGATATAAATAGTTGTAAGAAAATATTAGCTGTTCTTTGCAAATTAGAAATGTATTTCAAAAATCTGGATCACTCTGATCAAGCTGTATTTTTATAACATTCAAGTACTCAAACTCTTATTTTGAACTCATTTGTATCACAAGAGGATATGCAGGAGTATGACTGGGCTTCAATTCCACTTATGCCATGCTCTGCTCTAGAGATCATTTTAACTTTGAAGAAATTTTTGATCTCTGATGAGCACTGATGATGTTACCTAGTTTGGGTAATGAAACATCTGCAAGGAAACAACCAAGCTCAAAGAGCACCAAGGACCCCTCATTTCAATCATGAGCTACAAATATTCTCCTTTCTTACTATCTATGATTCCCCCGCACTCTAAGAAACAGTACCCAGAGAACTCAAATATTAACACATAAAATGTGACTGAGGTAAAAATGATTAAACAAATCAGTGAACAGTTACCATATTAATCACATCCGGTTTTAATTACATATACTTTTTGTTCTAGCCCATCTATTTTTTTGGGGGGGGGGTCTCTCTCAACAAGCCACTCAAAGATTTTAAGCAATGCAAATAACCTTTCTTTGGCAGTCAGAAATATTTTGTATGTTTTCTTCAACCATGCCTAACTATGCCAGAGTCCCATCCTAATTAGGACCGATACCATGAAGATGCATGATAAAAATTTGCAGCTAAGGCAATCTGTAATTTGACCTGAAATACATAGCTCCAATACACAATTATTTCACAGCAGGTAGTGGGATTTAGCCAATTTTGGCTGACCTTGAAAATGCTAAGAAAGGTCAGAGCTATTAGTAACAACACGAAATCAGGAAATCCCATGGCTACAGCCTAGACTAGAAGTTAAAAAACACTCAAGAAAGCAATGGCAAGCTATATTATAATCACTACGGAGATGATAATAAACTCCAGGGAGATTAGATCTCTTTATCTAGAAAGTTGTGTGACAAAAAAAATTACACTGCAAATTTTCTTGCCTTTAAAACATCTTTTACTCAGAATTTAATCCTGTGGAGTATATCACAAGGACATGGTGGAGAAAGCAGGAGTCCATCTCTCGCAAGCTACTCCATAGCACAAAGGCTAAAACTAGAGGGTAAGAAGATAGTGAAGCTGTTGCCTATAAAGTTTCTATTTCACTGACTCCATTTGACAGTCTGCCAAAGCTGAGTGCATTCTACTGCATTTGGAGATAGGGATACTGTTAGCATATTGTCTATCCTGCAACCCAATAGTCTCTCTTCCTGAGCTAGCTGTTCTGACCTCTGGCAAGGCATTGGTTTACTCTAAGCATTGGTTTACTCTAAGCAGTTTACTCACAACACATATTAGGTGTGATTTTCTGCTTGGGTGGAGCTAGTGATTTGAAGTTGGGGGAGTTATGATAACTCAACTGACATGGACAGATCACCTTCTAGTGAGACTGGCAGCTGATAGCAATCTTAGTTAAAACAATCCAATTCAGGCACCAAATGCATTTAGATATTTATCCTAATGCATTTAGGAAATTTCCCATTTTACATGTCAGCTACTATGTCAGTGCTCTGCCTAATCTATGGAATTTAGAGATGGGCTAAATAATGGCCACTCTTTTCTCTCACACAGCAAGACCAGACCAGTTTCAGCAAAGAATATGAAAATAATGAAGCAAATAAGATGACAAATGGAACACAACCGGAGGAATTCTGGAAACATTGAACAGGAATTGAGCTCTATTTGAAGATTATGCAACAGCTGGAGAAGTATTAAAGAATGCTTACTTCTCTGTCATCACTCCATAAGAGGCCAGCATTGCTTTATTTGTACAAGTGGCATATTGTTCACCAATATGTTGGAGATACACAGCCAGAATTACTCTTGGTAGCAAAGTTGATCAGCTGTGCTCCAACACTGCTGTTCTGAAAGCTGCACTGGATGCTGGTCTGCTTCCAGGTGCAATTCAAGATGTTATTACCTATAAAGCCCTGCATGGTACAGGTCCAGGTAACCTGAGGAACCATCTCATCCCAATGGGATGGGCTCACCCCACCTGCACCAGGAGAGGAGGTATGCTGTGGATCCCATCGGCCAAGGAATCTCGGTTGGCAGGATACAGAAGAGGCTTCTCCTGTATCCTGCCCTTTGGAACATCTTACTCTCCAGGGTGAGATCTGCTCCTGACTTCCATAAGGGCCTGAAAACCTAGCTCTATCAGTTGGCTTGGAGCCCCAATGGGGAGTGTCACCTGTAGGTGGTTGATAGACTAACCGCAGAGTCCACCTAACCCCCTGCACACTTTGTTCCCTCCCACCCAATCTTTTTACCATAATTTATAATTTTATTGCTACAAACGGAAAATAAATTTAATAAATACACTTGGACAAATAAGGAAACAAATTTAGCAACAGCTTGTCCCATTATATGGAATGTTGGGGCTAGCTTTATGGAGAGAGGAGGATTACCAGCCAATAATTTAATTCTTGCCTTTCTTGACTGATTAAGATAGGACTGACCTCATTTTAAAGAGAAGTAATCTATGTGTCACCAAGGGAAGGATGTATCTTAATTGCATAAAGAAGGCAAGTAGAGTCCATGCAAAGAAAACCCTCCTTTCCCTTGACAATGGCAATCTGTGCAATATAAACAAACTCAATCATTCCATTTCTGGGAACGTTAACTGAGAAGACTTTACGATTCCAGACACAACTGAATTATACTAATTATATAATTATTGGGAGCCATTTTAATCACGGGATTACATTGGCAAGGGTCTCTGCCAGAACCAGATGGGATGGAATACAGCTCTACTCCTTCTCCTGGGCTTCGGGGAAAGTTTTGATACCATTAACCATGATAGCTTTGGGATCATCTGATAGGACTGAATCTTGGGAATACCACTTTACAGCAGTTTTGGTTCTTTTAGTTGGACTCTGTCTGGGACCTAACTGTTCACAATCTGGCTTCTTATCCATCATGTCCCATAGTTATAACTTGTCTCAACATCTACAGAAAACTGCTGGGGACAATAATCAGACACCAGCAGTATACGGAGGAAATTTTCTCATGATGCTGCTCTTTACCATTCAATCCACAGAAGTCAATAAACTTGAAAGTTTGGTTCCATTTATACCTAGTGTTTGTGCTGTGACCCTTCTTGAGGTAGTTGTATTTGGTAATGGTTTGCCTTGGTTGCATTCCATTTTGTTTATAATAACACTCATCGTAAGGAGTTACTGTTGAAAAGAGTGGAAACTGCAACGCAAATGCAACTGACAGATTGTTACTAGCAGCAATCATGTGATGTCTGTACCAAAAGATCTGCTCTGATTATCAACTGCTTATTGGACAGAGCTTAGAGTTTTGATATTAATCTTTACAGTTCTAAATGGCTTAGGTTCTACTTACCTAAAATACTTTCTCTCCCATTACAAACCTGTTTGCCTGTTAAGATCTGCAACGAAAGGCTATACCTGGCATTAGTCCCAGCCTACGCATAATATATAAACTTAATTAATATGCGAGTGACAGCAGCTATGTCAAGGACTGAAATAAATAAAAATTCTTAGTAGATATGCTGTATCTTCATCTACTGTTTTTATGTAGATTGCCCTGATGCAGACACATTCATAACTGTCATTAATCCGTGGCTGATTTTATTAGGAGTATAAAGCACAGTTGTAATTAGCTGCAAGAAACATTCATATTCTGTAATTTAAAACTTTTACCAAAATTGAGTAATGAATTTGAACAAAATGAATTATGCTCATGCACGAATGAGAGCTGGTTCATCCCTCCATATGCTTACCATCAGCATCCACTTCATTAATCATGTCTTGCAATTCTGCTTCGGTAGGGTTTTGACCCAGCGACCTCATGACAGTCCCCAGCTCTTTGGTTGTGATGGTGCCATCACCATCTTTGTCAAATAAAGAGAAGGCTTCCTTGAACTCTGAGGACAGGGAAGAAAAAAATCATCAGCACACAGCAACGTGATAGCACTATGTATGAATAAGTCTTCTGTCCAATGAACAATACCACAGTGAACAAATTAAGGACATGTCCCATCTTTTTGCAAACGACACGTATGCCTAACCAACAATATACAGGCCTACAATTTTTCCAATTTGGACTGTACAGGTAGTTCTTGACTTACAACAGTTCATTTAGTGACCGTTCAAAGTTACGACATCACTGAAAAAAAGTGGCTTATGACCATTTTTCACACTTACAACTGTTGCAGCATCCCCATGATTATGTGATCAAAATTCAACCGTTGGCAAGTGACTCATATTTATGACGGTTGCAGTCTCCTGGAGTCATATA